TCGATTTCTTGACGGGAACTGAATTTTTCAAAAATCATAAAGAATCCTATCGCAGCAACAACAACGGCAAGGAAAAACGAAGAATCCATTTTGTGTGGATCGGTGAGGCTTCCAAAGAGATATATGTGGAGAAGGAATGAACAAAAGAGGCTTTGTATATAAATTGAATACACAAAACTTTGACTCTATGTATTGACTGAGAGAGTCTTTGTAGACAACTTGTTACCGACAAAAATCACTGTGCCTAAAGTTGTTACTTTTCTATTAAAAAAATAACAAAGCCAAAGAAAAGCATAAGCAATTTCAAGGAAGCTATGCTCAAAATCCAAGAATGTCTATACATTCACACTTGCAATTTCAGAGTAATAAGAGATCAATCTTCTCTCGCAGCTTCACCCTTGGCTTCAACTGTCTTGCCAAGAACAATTAGGACTGACAAAATATTGGTCTTGTCTATTTGACTCTATGTATTGACATACTTGTTTGTCCACAAATACTTGTTGACGTTTCATTTACCACATTATTATTGATTCATAAGTTGTACTCATTTTTATTGTTAAATCAAATTGGTTTCACATAATCTCCGAGCCACGGCCAGATATTTAGAGACCAAAGGCGATACTAATTACTAAACAATTTGTCACCATTCATAGAAACCATAGTTGTGGCCAATGATCTAGAGATCGGAGACGATACTAATCACTAAATTTTAGAGTACGGTTCAAATATAATAAATCATTTCATCCAAAAAAAATTAAATTAGAAAACAAATTATGTCATCAACAAAACAAAGCATTTATTCATATCATGTATTTTTATTTAGAATTACCCTATAAATAATAAATCATATCATTTATTTAGATCGGATATGAATATTGGCATTTATTCATATCATGCCAATTACCCTGTAGTGAAAGACAAAAAAAAAGTTGGTGATTATCTAAGGTAAAGAAAACGCATAAAATACAAATGTGAAAAATAAAAACAATCGATTAGATGATAGAATGTATTGTCCTAGATTTTTGTGTTTAATTTAATTTGAGGGTTTAACTCTTTTGATCACTTTATTTCTAATGTTTAATGTTAGATCTAATCAAAAGTAAGCTTTTGACTAATTTCTAAAATTATGGACCATAGGGCAATGTTTCTTATTTTCATACATAGCCACGAACCTGCATAAATCTATATATTGTAAATTGTTTAAAAACTAATTCAATGTTCTGAAATCTCTAGTCTTTGTTTTGTTTTCTTCTTTGAAAAGAGGATTCATAAGTTTTTTGTTTTCTCACGTAAGATCTCTTAGGGCCGGTTATGAGTACAAGTCCAAAAGGCATTGGTTTTGGATTTCCAAAAATTTCCTCGTTTGTTAATATTAAAAACTGGGGAGGTTTGGTTTAATATTCCAAAAAATTTATAAAATTTGAAAACTAACCCATTTTTTGAAAACTTTGAAAAATAACTTCTTTGTTGACTAAAAAGATAATAATATTCTCATAATTCTAAAAATTTACAATTAAATAACCATATATTTGTTATTTTAAAATTTTAGAAGTAAGTATTTATTTTGGTAGCTAAACTAAATTTTCAGATACTAATAGACATACTTTTAGTATAACTATTTACTTATTTTTGAAGTAATCACCATACGAATAAATTTTCAATCATAAATTATCCATATTAATAGATTTGTCATCACTACCATCTTCAACATCATTAGATAAAATATTTTTTTTTCTTCTAATCTCTTCTTTTGATTCATCAAAGTTTTCTATAATTCTTTATGCATTACCCAACCTCTATAAACTCCAAAAATCAACATCAATAAAGATTACGTTTATTTTTGTGAAATCAGGTGTCAAGTTTAATGTAGAACTGAAGTTTTTTTTTTATTTAGAATCAAAAATTAAACCCCAAATCAGATTAAAAGTATCATCTTTTTAAGTTCTGATATTATAATTTTTCAAAAAAAAAAAGGTTCTGATATTATAAATTTATTTTATGTGTTAGATAACCTTTATCATATTTTTTTTCCCTTTTAAACTTGATTATGTTAAAAAAAAAAATTCATTTCACTTTTTATCTTCATTACTAACATATATAATGTTTAAAATATTTTATTTTATTTTATTTCTGTTGTTGAAACATATTATATGTTTGATTTATTGATGATATTTTGATAATTTTCATTGTAAGGAAGTTAGTTTTCTAAAATTTAAAAACTTGGGTTAGTTTTCAAAATATATAAAATTTTGAGAATATTTTTACAAATTTTCTCTAAAAACTGACCCTTAAATTTAAAAAAAAATAGAAAAGAGAAGAAGAAAAGTGGAAAATAGAGAAATAAGAAGAAATAGAAAAAATATTCTCAAGTGAATAAATTCTTCAAGCCGTCCATCGGAAAATCAGACCAAC